GAGCAGGGGCCAGGAGAGCAAGCCAGTAAGCAGAGTTCCTCCATGGCCTGTGCTCCAACTCCTGCCTCCAGGTTCCTGCCCTGAGTTCCTACCCTGGGCTCCCTGATGAACTGCGACCTGGGAGATGGAAGACAAATAAACCCTTTCCTCCCCAAGTTGGTATTGGTCAGAGTATTTTGTCACAGCAATGAAAACAAACTAGGACAATCATTTTTATTGAGCTTTTAAAATTTCATACAACTGAATTTTATTGACAAATTATGTCATTGTTCCATAAAAAGATATTTGTATATTTTTATATACATAAATGTTATCAATGTGTATCATACAACTGTTGTGCCCAGTTTGTGAGACCCCAAAGACCACCAAGGAGCCAACCGATGCAAACACACAAGGTCTTTTTTATTGTTGCAAGCTTAAGCTTGGGCCCACTCTGTAACCAACCCAACAGATCTCAGATGTGAGACCCCTTGCTTTGGGAGACAGAGGTTTTTATAGGTTTATATCAGCAAGTTCAGCAAGTAGGAGAGTAGGGGGTCTCCATCCTGGCAAACATCTGATTGGCTGCAGCCCAGTGCCAAACCATAAACTGCTGCCTTCAGGAAATCTGAAGAGACATCTGGACTTTTAGTATTTCCTGTCCCTGGGTAATTGACTGTTGGTGGGGGAGTTGTTCTCTATCTGTTCCAAGTGTACTTTTTTGTGTGTGGCTTTTCCTGGAACAGGGTTCAGGGCTGAGTCAGTCCCATGAAGGTTTTATCCAAGATGGAGTCAGGTCTCTCATTCCCCCCTCTGACTAGTACCTTGGGGGCCCAATCATGGGCGCTCCCTCGTCTCATGTTCTTCATCACCCAGACTCTGGAGGGACTGATAGTGTGTTCACATTACCATTAACTGTATAGCTCCCAGCTGCTCTTTTATAAAAGCTACCAATTTATTTAAAATGCAAGGTCCAAAAGTCAAGAGCATAATCAAAATGAGGAGGGGTCTGAGTAAGGTTGAAATCAAAGTGGTCAACCAAGAGGAGCTATTGAACCAGGATGCAAACCATCCTTGTTTAGCCCTATATTCATTCTCTCTTCAAGCCAGACTTTTGCTAACCTTGGCCAGGGATTCTTTGACAACCCCAGAGTGATCTACATAAAAACAACACTCTTCCTTGAGGGCAGCACAGAGGCCTCCCTGCTGCAAGAATAGCAGGTCTAGGCCTCTCCTATTCTGCAGAACCATTTCTGCCAAGGAGGTTAGGGATTCTTGTAGATGGGAAATAGACTTTTCTAAGTTCTGGATGTCCCTGTCTATTGCTGCTCTAAGGCTATGGTAGTTTTGGCTTTGTAAGGTCAAGGCTGAAATTCCTGTCCCTGCTCCTGCCAGTCCCAATCCCAGAAGAACGGATAGGATGATGGCGGTAACAGCTTCTCTTTCCTGGCGATTATGGTGAAGGGGTCCTTGCCCATTCAGGGCCCTTTTTATATCCTGGTCTGAGTGATAAATAATTCTAGGGATTAGTTGTACTAGAACACAAAAATCTGATGATTGGTTAAGA